AAAACATTTGCTCATTCCAGATGATAATAATAAAGGATTCTTACCAAAGACAAAATTTATGAAAACGGTAGAAGAATTTCATATCTCCGGGCAGAATAATATGGTGTCTCAGAATGACTGTTGTAGGCACAGTCTCCCTGTAAATAGTAAAAACAGGATTTCTGTCTTAAAAACCACAGTGTTTATTGAAGGCCATGAAAAAGAGACCTCTTATTATTATACAAATTTTTTCACCATGAATGGATCTTGTTATATATAGTGGAAAATGTGGACATTCATCATGAATGAAGATTTATTTATTATGCATGCAAACAGCAACCATCATGAGTTCAGTACACAGGACAACATCTATGGCTGCTGCATCTCACTGTGCTCCCCATATACATAGGGATTCTCCTTGTAACATTTCTTGACCACCTCACAGAACATGCTGGCAGTGCCGTTTATCCCTTGAATGAAGCTGAGGCCTATTATTAGAAACAGCATGGCAACATTGAGGTTTCTAAAAACATCATAAAACTAATAAAACAATATATCATTATCATTCAAGCTATACATTTCCTTTCACTGAAATTTCACTATTCGTCAGATTTGGCCGTGACATAAATAATATCCCGATAATTATTATATATTATACTAACCGAGCGGATCAATGTGAGCCTTACACTCAATCTCGAACCATGATGGCGACTACGTCAGCACCATCACTCTAATACTAATAAATTAAGAGGGTATGCGTGTCATAAAAGTCAAGATCAAACAGACATCATCAAAATATCATTGTAATATATAATTAGTCAAATTAGGCCACATAGTAAGGTGGTTTTTTGCAATTATTTCCTTAGGGTGATATCTGTCCAAGTTTCATTCAGTCACAATATTTTGACAAAGTAAAGCATATCGACTGTGAAGTCATTTGTCAGTGAAATATGCTTTGCGTCTGTCCGGAAAGCCAATTAGAATGGTAAGCATCCATGTGTTAATGATACAATAAATGTGCCAGAAATAGATGCATTAGGATTAAGCTTTAAGCTATAGGCCAAAGAAATGGTCCAAATATATGAATCTGCAAAGTGGTCCGTATGAGCTTTGATTGCAATGTCATGCCGCTTTGTAGCACGCCAGCTCCACACAGCCAACCAATAAAAAACCAACCCACCCAAAACCTTCCTATTCCTCAATTCCGCGACTAAATCGCGTATCTTCTATCGACCAACACGATTACTACCATATTCATATTAGCCTGATATGACTTCCACTAACATCAATATATACCAATTCCTCAAGAAAGGAAAAGAAGCCTTTAGAGCTGAAAATTACGGCACAGCAACCCAGTTACTGACAAATGTTATATGCATACCAGAATTAAGTTCACAACACTTTGAGGTATGTTGACTATTTAACGCGCACACCCATTTCTGCACTTTTTAGGAGATTCAAATTAATTCTTTCAACTAGGCGAATGATTACCTTGGCAGAGCATATTGGAAATTAGGAAAACTCACTTCTGCAGCGGAGGCTTTTGAACGGTGATCAACATTTTCTAATAACATAAATATACTTAGTCATACTTCTCGCACTCTGCCATCAACTATTCATCCAGCCTATTTTTTTCACTTGAAACAGAAATAGAACAGCCGGAGAAGTAACACCAGAGCGCTCCTGTGACGGTAAACTCTAACGCACCAAGCGACTTAGGTCATTCAGTTTACTCAGTCTTTTTCAACTCATGTAAGAAACTTACGATTCAGTACGTCGTTCAATTACAAGTCGCCGAGATATACCTACAATTAGTACGTGAATCAAAGACAGAAGAGAAGATATTACATTATGCAACCTTGACACTATATTGGCTAAAAAGGTATCTGTTTTATTTGTTTACTTATTGCCAATATCCTTTATAAGCTAATGAAGGCGATCTAATTCATTATTACTTGAAACGATCAGATCTCGGAGCAAAGACAGTACCGTATTACGCCAACGTAAGACCGGGCCGTTGTATAATGAACGTGGTGTCAAATTATTGCGTTGCCTATTTGATATTTTGGTTAAACGTGTGGAAGGACAGCCTAAGCAACGAGGTTGTCTTAAACATCGAAATGGTGAATCATCCGGTAAGTGTTTTGTTGTATTAAAAAATTTTATTAATTATCAACAGGCGGATTCAAGTATGTACACTGTTCACAGGAAAACCAGTAGAGTTGATCGACGAGCAGCTTGTAAAAGAGTTATTTGCTGCTAAGGAGACCTTGATTGACCCGCATCTTCACAAGTTGCTCGCCAGATCTCTATTGAGAAAGAAAGAAATTCGAAGGTAGGCAGGACAGTGAATGTAGATTTACGCGCCTGATCTTATTCCTACATTTAATATTGTATTTCTTTGATTTTCTGGAAGTGTCGCAGATCATGCTTTAAATAGTCGCTATCACTTGGCTGATAACTTGGAATGGAATACTTTTATATGCGAGAATATCGACTTATTGGCATCATCATGTCCACGGGAAGAATGGGATAGATTTTGTGCTATCGAGAAGTTGTACATGTTTGCACTTGATAATTGTGTGAGATTGACACTAAATTGCGGGTAAGTAACGCAACACATTATTGTCGCTGTCTGCTTGCATAGAAAATAATTGTAAGATGGTTATCAATTACGAAAGATCTCGTGAAGAGTGCGAAAAGATTTTGAAGCGATATGGGAAAGTCTCTTCACGAAGTAAAAATCTCCCAGAGCATAACGAAGTACATCAAGTGAGTGTCAACCTATTTACTAGTAGAATTATTCTTGCAATTGTTAACTGACCGCCACGACATTTACGCTATTGCAGGAAATACAAGCAAGATACAACCGGCATAAAGCTTATTTTAGAATAAAATTCGGTGCTTTATCAGACCTGAACGAATATCAAAAACCAGTTTCTCTTCTTCCCGCGCAACAAGAATCTAAAACGCACTTGTCCTTCGCGTTTGAAAGACTCAAGCGTGCTCTATTTTGGGGCATGCCGTTTACGCAATTACAGCACTTAACTGATAATTGGAGCTACGTGGACTACTTCATATGTCAACGAATCAGCGATTCTTTCCAACTGTTAGCTACCCTCTTACTGTGTTTCGATTTCGATTGGCTTAGTAAACCGGATGTAGAATGTGCAATTTTGGTGAATGACGATCATGCGACTAGGGAAATAGTGTTTCCAAGTCACAAGAATCTTCTTAATTACTTGACCAAAGATGACTACGGAAATCGAGATCGAAAAGAATTGGCCCACAACATGGATCCTGTAATGAAAATGTTAAAGCAAATTGACAAGATCACATTGTGTTCTCCAAATGACTTGAACAGGTAAATTCATATCTTCTTCGTATATTTGTCATAACACAGAAATAACCATTATCGTTTTATTCAGATTCTTATCTGTCATTTCGTGGTACATTGATTCGGGAAAACAATTTATGGAACTTCTCAAGTATTGGCTTCCTCATTTAGCAAGCACTGCTCCAGAGGTAATCGAACAGTTATTCTGATCGTATTTTTGTAATGAATTCATCCACTTACGATTGATCGTTCACTTGAAAGCGAAAATCAAGAGTTCTCCCCAAATTTAAGAATAACGATCTTTTGCAATCCGACCAATCTCCTTCACGAGCATCTTCTCGAACATCAGATAATTGGCAACCGACGCCTCCACCAATTGTACCAAAAAAACTGGTAATAGCGGAGGAGGCGACGTTGATGGATATTGAAACGTTCCTCATGATACTTCTCATTCAAAGACAAGAAGTATGTGTCACACGTTTAGGAGCCACTGGTCTAGGTCAAATCTTGTATTTGGCGGAAATGGCGTGCTGGAAGCCGAGTGCAAGTCATCAACGCTTTTGGAATACTGTCATTGCTAAATACGGAAGAGTATGGACGCTTTTCATCAATTGATTGTATAATTCATTTTATTGCTCGTACAAACTTTTTACACGTCTGTTAATTTACAGGATGATCCAGAGAGATATGTATACACAACCGATTTGTTCAACGAAGATGACTTTAATCAAGCCATAGCTGAGATTCGTGGAGACATCAGATACATGGATTTCGACCAATCGGATGAAGAGAGAATTAATATTATTGATAATCAACGGGACCTTTATCTGTTGCTATCATATTTGTTTAAAGTGAGTTTTTAGCTGTAGTCTTGCTTTTTATCAGAGTTTGGCACTTAATCACACCTTTATTTGTTAGGGCTTGCAGAGTTGGTATACAAGCAGACGTGTAGAGGCTCTCCATTGCCTCACAGTATTTCATTATTGGGATCGATTGTTAACGTACGAGAAGAGTTCTTTTAAGAGAGGACAAGAACCATCAAAACAGTTTTTCATCTTGGACGAGACTGTCGCGGACGATGCTTATCGAAGGTAATCAATCAACCGATAATGGCATCTTATTGGTAATGACACACTTTTTAACATTCGTTTGTCTTTAAAGGTTTATACCTGGTTATGAGAAATTGTCATCGGCTCATGGGCTTGAGAACTTTGCGAAAACCTTCTATACAGATGAGAAATGGAGCAAAGTAGTACAGGAAGTATATGCCGAAGAAGGCAATCAACCAATTCATGGTTTGTCGGATGAATTAAGTTCCCAGCCGACGGAAGGATCTATAGAGGATTTGGCATCATATGCGGCCGAATCATGTCCTAGTGAACATGTCAGGGTCTCTGATTTGTCTATTTTAGCCAATGCCAGTGAATAAGGTTTAAAGATGAGACAGCAAATAATTTAGATGAAATACGAAGGATAGAGTTCTCAAAGATAATTAATTAATTACACGAAACATTGAATTCAATGTGTAATTTGAGAATTTGTTCTTGTTGAATTGTATTTTTATTTTGTAGTACTATTCAAGATAAATAAATATTACCCCCAAATTGCAAGATTTTTTTTCTTTTCTTTTTTTTCTTTTTTCATTATTCACTCAGCTTTGTTTCAACGTATTAGTGAGTCATTCTTACAGTAAATGCGCATGTCGGAAGTTTTCACCAGCGTAGATAGCATTACTGCCCAATTCTTCCTCAATGCGGAGCAATTGGTTATATTTAGCCAGACGTTCAGAACGGCATGGCGCTCCTGTCTTTATCTGTCCCGTACGCAGACCAACGACAAGATCTGCAATTGTCGTGTCTTCCGTCTCGCCAGATCTATGAGAGACCATGACACCCCAGCCACTTTTTTGAGACAATTTCGCACTATGGTTGCAAATCAAAGGATAATAATTAATTGCCAGTGAATAATACTGGAAAGCTGAAAATCGCAGTTGGAAACGAGATCGATACGTACGCTTTAATTGACTCGGTCAATGTACCTATTTGGTTGACCTTCAACAGGAGTGCGTTGCAGGCCTTTTTCTCAACGGCAGTCTGGATTCTTGCTGGATTAGTAACTGTTAAATCATCCCCAACGATCTGAATGTTAGTTGACGTGTTGAGATGGTTCCAAGCCTCCCAATCATCTTGATCGAATGGATCCTCAATCGATACGATTGATGGGTATTCCGTAACGAACTCTTTATATAACGCTGCGAGCCCTGCACCTGTAAGCCACTTGGAAGAATCGGAATTGGGATTCTTAAAGTCGAGGTCATATTTGCCCTCCTTATAAAACTCGGAAGCAGCCACATCCATTCCGATCTTCACTTTGTCCGTATACCCTGCCTTGGCAATGGCTGTCTTGAGCAATTCAAGACCTTCCTTGTTATCTTGAATGTTGGGTGCAAACCCACCCTCATCTCCCACGTTCGTAGCATCTTGACCGTATTTAGACTTGATAACCGACTTTAACGCATGATACACTTCAGATCCGATCCGCATGGCCTCTGCAAACGATTGAGCACCAGTAGGCAAGATCATAAACTCTTGCATGGCCAGCTTGTTACCGGCATGAGAGCCACCATTGATCACATTGAATGCTGGAACGGGCAATACGAATGGTTGTTTGCTTCCCGACAGATCGGCAATGTGTTTATAAAGCGGAACACCCTTTTCGGCAGCACCAGCACGGGCAACTGCAAGTGAAACTCCAAGAATAGCATTGGCACCAAGCTTTGCCTTGTTTGGTGTACCATCGAGTTTGAGCAAGAAATCGTCAACGTTAGATTGGGATTTCACATCAACGTTCGCTTTAATAAGTTCTGGGCCAATGATATTATTGACATTGGAAACAGCCTTTAAAACTCCTGGAAAGATGTATTTGTAAAAGGGAAAAATGAGTCGAATCACGTTAGCGATCAAAAGAATGACAAGTTTATTTATAACGCAAGCATTTTAATACTTTTCATGGATTCTGATAAAGACCTTTGCCGACATACTCAGTCTTGATACCATCTCGCAGTTCAAGGGCTTCATGAATTCCAGTCGAGGCACCCGAAGGAACAGCAGCACGAAATACGCCTAGACGAATGTTTCGAATTAGATTACTTGGTAATAAATTAAACCCATTTTTTTGATTAAAAAACTGCTAATTTTAGGAGCAGCCAAAAGGGAATTTTCAAAATTTATTGAAACTTCCCTTTATTATATAAAATATCAGTACCTTTTTCGGTAGTCACTTCAACTTCTACAGTAGGATTGCCGCGAGAGTCAAAAATTTGGCGTGCATGGACTTTGAGAATGGCCATTTTGACTATAGTTTTGCTTGATAATCGAAACAGTAAATTTAGGCTGTTGTGATTTTGACATTTAGGCCGGGAGGGATATTTATATTGGAAAGAAAGTTTGTAAATTGTCACGCAACGTTCCGAGGCATCCCATTAGTACGTTACACAAATAATCTCCTGATATGGTTAACGAATTTGATTTTCATCTCAAGATCGAATATGACAGGCAAAAAATGCTGTACATCTGATCTTTTTCCCCCAGCATCCAAACAGCAGTGCATAAATCATGGACTGTGGAAAAGGAAGAGATACAACATGCACAGCGAAAGAATTCATGAAACGATATCGATACTAATTGATCTTCCCGAAATTCCCCTGCGGAGATTTTAGTTTGTATACTCCACTAATTCCTTTTCTGTAACGATCGTCGCTTAGCGTGGAAATATTACGATGAAAGCGGGGCTTTTTTAATTCTTCAGTAGATATAGACAGCTGCGGGACATTTTGATTAGATTTTAACCGATAATCGAACGCATCGTGTATTATCGCTCTTTACAAAGTTGCTTTGTGGGCTTTCCGGTATCGTCTGTTTGAGAAATGTATTATTCGGTATCACGTCCCCCTGCCTTGAAATATGATTTTTGTTGTTGTACCACCCATTCTTTCAACGACCTGCTGTGCTTGTGAGAAACATTAGTGTGATCCTACCCAGAAAAGAATGGCTTACAGAGTGTTCGTATTAGTATAGACTTTTTCAGTGAGATTAGCAAATTGTACGTTATTTATTGCGTTGTCAACGGCAAGTGAAAGAATGCAACTGTTTGGCGAATTTTGTCTCGAGGCATGGCATCTCGTATATATTCACAGTATTTTATTTGTTCCATTATCGTTTCGAAACGACGAACCGCGTTTCATAGATCAAAAGCCAAACTTTGGTGGCTTAAACTTCTGTTAACAATTGACCCAAAGTAGACTACAATGAAAAAAGTATCACAAGTAAAACAAGCAATTCGTATATGGCAATGACCGTTTTGGTCAAGAATTATTTACTAGACCTCTTTACGAGCGAATTATGTATGGTACTGCTCATTGAATAAAATTGACAGATGGCGAATACCGTTTCGCCGTTTAATTGCTGTATATCTCAATTGTTCATGATATGCCAAAATATCATTATTACCGAGATCAATCCCTGGCAGCCATGTCACGGCTTCCCTCCTTTTCAATCCTGTTTCTCTGTATCTTCGTGTTCCTCTTCAGTAACTTGTCTTTCCATCTCCTTGACCAGCACATTGGCAACAGTGGCTACTTTCTCACCGGTCAAACCCTTCTCTCCCTTGTCATTCTCAACAGCTTTTAATGCTATCTTTTCCTCACCCCTCGCTTGTTTTAGCATTCTCTCTCCTACATCAAGTTCCTCATACTCCCATAGTGTTACCCTCATTCCGATGCCACTTGGAGCATTATCGATGATATAATACAACCATCTCTCAATCACATCTCGGTTTGCATCTTTCAATTGAAGCAATCTCTTATGTGTCTTGCGTTCAAAGTTCTCTTGGGTTTTTTTATGAATAAATGGACCGCGAGGAACAGCCCATCGGGTGGTTTTTGTGGGAAGGGGGACAGGTCCCGAGCATGGAATCCTGAGAGCCCCAGCAGCACGTCGACAAAAGTCGACATAAAAGTCCATATGAGATGGAACATAACTCCGAAAATGCAAATCGCAAACGACAACATTGTGGGTCGGGAGATATTGCTCGGGTTCTATGATTTTATAATAAGCGAGGAGATATAACGCGGAAAGAGAGAGAATATATTAGCATAGTCGACATGATGAGAGACGGTAAGCCATTATAAGATCAGTAGATACTGAATCATAACCGTACAACTCTGATTATATCAATTGTCTCTATATTGTTTCTACCACATAGTGTTTCTCGATTTTACATAAAAGTAAAGTAAACCTAACCTTTGAGGTATAGAACATCCTCTTCTGTTTGTTTACCGTCTATTGAGCTGCTGTTGGCGTCTTTTGATAATGGTGGTAATTGCGAGCTGGAATCTGGTGTGCGTGTGGAAGAAAAGTCGGTTGACGACTGATCAATGGATTGAGATCTGCGATATATATAATAAAAGTATAAAGATGACAAGTACCAGTATGACTATGAGCATCCACGTGCGCAATTCTACGAATTAACAAGCTTTCGTGCAGAGAATGTAACGTACGTGTATCGCCGCGAAAGCATGTGAAATGTACGTGCTGAGAGAGAACTGTAAAGCGGTATGCATTGCTCTTCGGCCTGAAAAAACGTTTAGCGTAAAACGATCACCAAAGTAAGAGATTAGTGCTTTAATTGTCGCAACAATCAATCTCTCGAAAAGTCTCATTCTGTCTTACGCATGATAATAGTAATCTTCCGAGATTATTCATTCTCATCAGCATTAGTCTCGAATTTTTTGCACGTCTCGCTGTTTTTAGATCACGGACCGATGAGAAATCACGTGAAAGCTCGCTAATATGGTGTGACCAGTAAAAAATATGTCGACAAACTCTTTTTTAACGTTTCAATCTCTTTAAAATGAATTTTCTTGGGAGGACCACCAGAACTGTTGGAGCGTTGGGATTCAGGAGATTTGGTAAGTTTTATGAACAATGGACAGCGGCAAAGTGAAACAGACTATAAATTGAGCGGTTTGCTAAAAATTATAATCGAGCATTTCTTCATGTGTTCAGAATAGATGCAATAGCCAACTCTTAATATTTCTCTCTAGCGCGCTCATATGCAACAGAGTCCACAGGAGCATCAGACAAGTTGCGTCTGAGCTTTGCCGTGCCTCACGAGGTGAGCTTATATCCGCAAAGGGTTAACTATTTACCAACGATTGTTAGACTCTTTATGAAAAGTATATAAATGAGGATAGAATGGCATTAGTTGATATTATTCTAGATCTAGGTTGTACTTTGTTGTCCATTTGAACTTTTTTGAAATTAACACTTCTTTTTTTCCCAAGTCACTCCGAACTTAAACTTTTCACTTCTTTTCCTAAATTCATACGAAAGACACTCTACGATAATGCTGAAGTCCAACAGGTCAACCTCTCCTCCACTGCCGGTGATATGGGCATATTAGCTAACCATCTTGCCACGATTCAACAACTGAAACCGGGTGTTGTGGAAGTTGTAGAAAATTCAACTACAACCAAGAAGTTTTTCGGTAACTTTGGAGTTTTATAAATTGACGGGGTGAAGCGGAGGTTTGGGATGTGAAATTAGCAAAAGAAATAACAGTGTGAAATTGAAAACAACAGTGATCGTAGCGTTAGCTCTCGACTGTGACTAGTGGATTTTTTAATTACCGAAATCTAATCCTGATCAATATTTCCAGTTAGTGGTGGTTTTGCGACGGTAAATCCCGACTCTTCTTTAGACATCAATGCAGTTGAAGCTTTTCCACTCGAACATTTTTCTATCGAGGCTATACGAGCTAATCTAGCCGAAGCTCAGCGTATATCTGCTAGTAGTGCAACTGAAGCAGATCGCGCTGCGGCAAGAGTTGAAGTTGAAGTTCTTGAAGCTTTACAGACTGCTCTTGGAAAGAGTTGATAGTGGTAATAAAATGGAACGAGATATGCACATTCCCTGATTAAATCTCAATTTCATACTATATGTTGAACTTTGAAGCATGTTCCGAATTTGGATAGGATTTAAGCAAACTTCATGTTTTCCATGTCGAGACCTCCCTCTCTCTCCAAACCTTCATAAAAGTATGTTAAACACGAATTAGTCTGCATTGCCAGTGTAAAGTATAAACGCGAATATTTTCATTTTGGTGTTAATTCACAGTACGTATTGTAAATATGGTGATTCTAGACTTTAATGTGTGTTTGTGAATGCAGTCAACATTACTAGGAAGTTACACATTAATGTGTAAACACCCCGCTTTCGTGACAATGGGCGGTTTTTGGCTAAATAAACAATAACACAATGGAACGTTTGACAGGCGTTCTATTTATTCAAAGTTTTCTATTAATAAATTTTTTTAATTCTTGGCGCACTGTCTACACTTTATAGTTTATCCGATAACGTCGCTAGAATTCGCTCCGATTTTTTGATTAAATAAAATTTTTTGCCTTGTTAAACTCATACCGTTTAACGTCTGTGCTTGACTGTACACATGACCCGATCAAGCGTACGATAGTTCATTGCCGATTAAATATAATTATTAATTAACATCTGACAAAGTTGATATATGCGGCGAAGTAGAATTTATAACTGATAGGTTATGACAGCCTGGCTTTGATTACATTCTATAGACAAAGTAAGGGGAATAATTAATAAGATTTTTTGTTGTTGGCAAGAATATACCGTCTTAGGTCAGGGAATCATCGACTTGAATTCATTAAACATATCAAATAAATGTAAATGCAATAGTTGGTTTTGAAAATGCGACTCGAATACACGATGAGTTGAAGAAGGAGAACAAACCATTGTCTATCAGAACAATTAGATGCTGAATTGCTACATTCAAAGACGAAATTAAAGGCAAGAGTCGTCCTGGTTGTTCTCGCAAAACAGCGACGCCAGAAAAATTTGTCATAGTCGAGGAACATTTACTAAAGAAGAAGCCAACAGAGTGAACAATTTCTCGTAAAGAATTACCTACATTTTGCATGATGAACTGAGCCCTCAGTAAGTAAGAAAGAAAGACTGTTTATGATGTCATGCTTTATCACAACAATTGTTAAAAAGTGTCTTCGTAGCGAACGAGTAAAACTTTATTTCATCCATCATACAGCCCAGACTTTGCAAAAAATAACTGAAGAAGGAAGAAAACACATTGATACGGTCGAAATTTTTGCAAATGCGGTTATTGAAGATGTCCGAAAAAAAAGGTATTATGAAAATTCTTTCAAAGTTGGCAAAATCTAGTAGAACGGTGTATTAGTATATAGCCGTAGCGATTATTATTGCAAAATTCTCCACGCGCAACGTTTCAGCACCCATTCGTATTATCAATAACAATTCAAACAAAGCAGTTCAAATTTGATTTTAATATTTAATAAATTATTTTATAATTACGCAATACTCGACAAGTTTTTTTTTAAAAAAAATGTTATACTAATGGATCGTTATACTATGGCAATAATTTTACTGTAATTAATTTTAATAACGTAAAGCGTGATTAATGGTATTTCTTTCTATAAACTAAAAGCATAAGCTTCTAAGGGCGCGTCAAGAATTTTGGAACTGAAGAAAAAAAAAAGGGTTAGTTTAATATGTAATAAATGATTACGAACCTTTGTCGTAAATTACAATTAAGAAACCGACTTAATTAAAAAAGAATATAATTAATCGATTCGGAGAACCGACGGATGTAGCATTTATCCTTTGTAATGTAAATCTGTCACCATCCTATTATAATTTAGGAAAATCGATCGACCGCATTATCGGAAACAGCAACGTACATTCTCAACATCCAATAAAAACAATAAAGTTTTTTTAGTCTTTGCCTCGTTGTTGGTCCTTGGCCGATTGGTTACGTGCACGTTGGCGTTTAGAATTTCGAAGCTGGAATAATGTCAGTATTCTGATGATCCTGATGAACCAACAACAGTTCTGAAGAGCGAGTTGAAATTTTAGGATCTCCATAAACCCCCTTTGGAAAATTATTATTGGCTTCACGTGAACAAACAAGTAGTTGTATATTAAATGTAATATGTTAATAATAGCATTATTTTTTACATAATTTGTATCTTATTACAATTATTATATTGGCTCAACAAGCTTTTCAATAAAGTAACACATATATACACACACGTTATTCTTACTAACAACTATTCTTTTAATCCTTTGTATCAGAGTTCAAAGCAGCGTTACGTTCGATAGAGAATATTACAGTAATACAAAAGTGTGGCAATGCCGTGTGTAGATATCCATAAACCAAGCGTAATTTCTATGGTGGGAGCACCATCAGGGCAGGTTCTACGAGTGCTTAGACATGATAAGAATACGATATTACGAATAATATCAAAGAAGTCAGATGGCAAGTTGATTATATTAACCATGTTGGGTTATATCATCGTTAATAACAGTAACAACACGCGTTCTGAACTGATCCTGGGCATAATACTTTGAGTATATTCGTCTTCTTCCAATAGATCCATCTGTATAAGTTAACCGTATGGGGCAATATCCGTTTTCAAAAATGACGATACTAACGATCTGTATAAGAGTAAACATGTAATAACGCTAAACCAATCGTTACCCGCAATTATAAAGTTGATCAATATGCAATCGACAGATATGATATAGCCCGTTAAAAACCCCTGTGACGAATAGATGCATTATCATCTTTGTTGGTTACCATTTTCAATTGCATAGTTTACTATTCTACCTCCTGGTTAGCAAATCGTATTGTGTGGTTAGAAGCGTTTGCTATCGTTTGCGTTGTTATCATTATCACATGCTCAATTCGTCAATGTTCATACCTTCTATAATTGATTTTCACATAAAATTTTTTTTTGACTTTTGTGCAAGGTCATAAACTTTGAATCATACTGTATTGAGCATAAACGAACTTAATGAGAATATAAAGAATTAGTAGATTGTCTTCTGAACCAATCAACCGTGATACCAACTAATAATCATCATCGATAATGAATAGAAGTGCGTGGGATTAATAACGTTATGGGAAGAATGTGGAGAAGGGAAGAAAGAGGAAAACGATGGTGAATATGACTATGATGATGGAAATAAATATGATGATGACGACAACGATGAGAGTGGGAAAAAGTATGATTCTGAGAATCTGGTAGTATGTGTTAATACTAACTATTTGGCGCGATGCTGTTTTACCATGATTAATCAGGTTTATTGCATTGACATTTGTACAATTCCGGATGTAATATACTTCCTTCACTGCCAAAGATAGACTATTAAAAATAATTATTTCTATTAATAGACATATGATTGCAAATCATGTGAATTGGAATTTCTATAACGAATACGTGATACCAAATATTATCTTTTGATATCACATAATGATCTGGGCGTTGAGTGAACGTCCACCGCAAAGCATTGACGTCTGTATGTTCTAATTATAGCTATTATCACACGAGTTGTATTGTCGAGATTATTGTCAACGTCTTCTTATCAGCGGTTGTCACAGAAATAAAGTTGATTTCACGGTGGCGGTGACTTGTTACATTGATATTTATAGTATCTGAGTAACCATTGATCCACCAATCGTCACATATAACACGTATTTATACATTCTATAGTATATACAATACTACTATATTCATACACGTAATATGATGTTATACACCAATCTTGTCGTTAACATTGCTATTCCCGCTTTCGTTCTTGTCCTTCCATAAGCCTGATGTGCAACAGAGACTTGTCCAGCCTCCCATCAATATTGTGCAATCTACATACATATACATATCCAGACACACATATATATATAACCCTTTGCCTCAACTGAAACTGGAACAGGAGAGATACAAAAGGGACGCACCCTTGTTCTATTTATAGCTCACTTACAAATAATCAAATACATTAAAATACAGATCACAAGTGTCAAACACAAAGAACTTGTATAAACGTTGAATAAAGCAAGCAAAGTAACACAACTGCTGTGGTATAGTGATTGTCTAATGTATTAGATTCCGATATCGAACGTCATCCCACCCCTCCCCCTTTTTTTTCGTACTTGGTCATTTAGCAACACCCCCGCAATCTATTGACCACTGTACTCCGCCACCACCCAACCAAATTCCTATTTATTTTTAACCATTGCACCAGACTATTTTCTATTTTTTTCCACCTCGTCCTCATAAATTCTTTTCTTATCTCTACGGAGTGTAAAAAAAGAACAGTGGTTACAAGTTCAGAAGAAGTACGTTTAAGGTGAGAAGAAAGTTTACGTGTATGAGTTAGAAGAGTAGCTATAAGAGCGGAAGAGTCAAGCAATACGTGTGTGAACTAAAGAGAACGCTGGTTTTTATATACGTTATCCTTACATATGTTGTATTCTGTGTGTCATAGCGGAAACAACATGCTGAGGTTCGCGCTAATGGTGAATAGTCTGATGTTCCTCACAAGTATAATTATATGAAAGAAAAGACAGGTTCCGGCGTGGATAGAGGTTTACTGTGTAGACGCAGTGTGTTTATTTAGTAATAGTAATGTCGGTATAAGATATTCAACCGAATGACTGTCGGGAATATTTCTCGTCACCATTTGTTGATCTTGGCTTTAGCGAAATTTTACTTTTTGACAGAGTCTGGGCTATTGCGTATTGTTATATATTCACGTCTCGACGTCCGTTTCAGATAATGATACGATGTCATCAACGGATATAAACTAATACGCCATATAAAGTCATATTTGGGCTGGATGTCGATTTGGCCGTTTGCAACGATTTTAACTAACTTTCAACCTTTAATACGTTCTCTCTGTCTGCAGCTTTTATTAATTGACCTACAATGGGCCGCAAGAAGATTCAAATCAAACCAATCAAAGATGAACGAAATCGCCAAGTAAATATATCGATATTTCAATATTGGAAGACAGCTATCATGTTCCATATAAGCCATCGAGACTTGAGTATGTTATTGATTTCTAACTTTTTTTCTACCGTTCTTTTGTTTTTGTTCTTTAGGTTACATTCCTGAAAAGGAAGTTTGGTCTAATGAAGAAAGCCTATGAGCTCAGTGTCTTATGTGATTGCGAGATCGCACTGATTATATTTAATTCAAACAATAAACTGGTTCAGTATGCAAGTACTGATATCGACAAGATTCTCTTGAAGTACACTGAGGTAAGGATTGGCATTGATGCATGAGTGATGGATTTTTTCCCAAATTTATTCGATAATCTATATAATTACGACTCGTTATTATTGACATACAGTATAGTGAACCACACGAAAGCAAGGGCAATCATGACGTAAGTTGAACAAAGTCAAATGCTACTAATATCTTGTTCATTTTAACTGATGTTTCAAAAATGTTAGTTTGCAAATACGGCAGACGTTGATGATGACGATAACCCTCCAGCAACGGTATACGACCCTTCTTCGACTCCAGAGCAGAAACAGGTATGCATCAATCAGAAGACTGATCCGACACGGATTTAGAGTTAGGAATGAGAATATTACTAACAGAAAGATTTGTTTAACAGGCCACACCCCCATCATATCAACATAATCCATACCACGTGAGTTACAACAACGGCATGTATGCTCCATCGCCTCAGCCGTACATAGTTCAACAGGTGCAGCAAGTGACAGATAGTGTTTCTGTCTTTAAATATTATCATTACTGAGATTACTATAATGTTCTTGCTGTTTACTTGTTCGCTAATCACTGCATCAACCTTTTACCGTTATAGCCACAGCAATATTATGGACAAATGAGCCAGGTGACCCCAATACCTCATCAATCCATGATGGCCATGTCCATGCCAATGTCTGTTAACGTTGCTCCCAACTCTCAATCCTCACTTTCCGCATCACCAATTCCCGCTCCATTACAGATGGGTGTGCCGATGCCAAATAATTCCTCGATGCCATCAACGCAATCATCCCTCTCATCAACCATGTCAAACACTATGACGCAAGTAATACCAGGGGTAGTACAACAAGCACAGCAGTCACCTCAGTTACAACATTCAACAACGCAAATGCACAGTCCACAGTTACGTCATTCACCACAGCTATCTCAAGGTGCGATGGACACACCACCTAGCGGGACTGACATAGTCACTTCTCCACCATTAGTATCGCCAACTCCGAAAAAACCGAAGTTAAGAGTACAAATTCCAGAACAGAAGGATGGTAAAGGTGGGAATTGTACACAATGTGTGATTGTCAAACAGGATCCAACGCCTGATCAGGATGAGACTCCTGAGGATTCTCAACAGATGCCCATGGCTTCGATGCCGGTGAGTTTTGTATTATGAAATTTGCGAGGACGTTTATATACAGTTTATCTTAATGTTTTACCATCTCGAATTCTTTCTTTTCCTAATTTTTATCTCAAATTCTAGCTCTCCACTCGTCCGACACCAACTACCGCGGACGCAGGTCCAGCATCAGCCATAACATCGTCTCAATTCGGACCGAATCTTCCGTCTCCGTCTACGTTTTTCAACGAATTTTACAAATCAGAGCTCCCGTCTCCATTAGCGTTTTCTCAAACACCGACTAGTGCACAGACAAGCGCATTTCATTGGCCGCCACATAGGCCACAGCATCAACCTTCACCGTTAGCTAAACAAGATGGTGTATCGGTGAAGAATGCCAGGCCGGATGATGATGATGTAAACGTAATTGGGAACGGAGAACCCGAGAAGAAAAGGCTTAAAGTTTAAACAAAGATATTATAGAGATCGGAGAGGATGGATAGAAATATAGAAGGGCAAGGAATAATGTTGATTAATTGAATGTTATGGGATGTACATTCAGAAGGCCTGGTTTTTTAAAGGGAACATCGGATTATTGTAATTTCCACCGGCTAGCTACAATTATAGCCACTTTTTCTTTTCTTTTTTATTCATAATTGATGGACTTTTGTAAAAAGATTCTACATACTACTGAGCTTCCTTCCATTTATTTTACCTTTTTTAAAATTACAATCAACTAAAAAGACATTGTTTACCGGTTAAGGTATAAAATGGGATGGAGGGAACTTCTCATTAGTATCCTCATCTATAGCAGAGACGTTTCTTAGTTGATGGTGCAGTGAAACGAGAAAACTAAGTTTAGTTTCAAATTTTGTACTGGGGTGCTTTTTCTTGATATGGTGTATACTGTCCAGCACTCATATTTTACTATTTGTATTATATTCTTATGGACTCCTCTTTTTCGCACAGTTCTTAATTACCTTTTACTTTTTTCCCAATCTTATAAGACTATATTTTTACTACTTGGACTTTTTCTCCCTCCTCTCGTAGGATAAGCAGCATTTCTACTCAATTTCAACAGCAATCAATCAGACATTATGCTATGCTTATTTCAATATTGATTTTGATAATTGAGTAGTTCAGACTTTTGCTCCGACATGATTCCCTTTTTCTTCATCTTTTTTTTTTCAGAACAAAGTCAGGAGAATGGACAGGCTGGGTTGGCCTGTAAAACAATAAAGTATACAAATTCTATGCATAAGAAATGTGAAAATAAACTAGTGTTTTTCCTTGAGATGTCGCAATCACATGGTTTGTCCTTGTTTGCTGATAGGTCCATGTGCAAAACAATATACGTTTTTTATTCTTGAAGGTATATGCGCATAATGCCAACTTGTAGTACTCTATTTATATTACTGTAAACACGTTGACTGGTTCGCTGTCCACGAGTTGGTTTTGGCGGTTTTTTTTTAGCATCACGAGGGGTCATGAATTCTGGATTAACAAATTACCCCCGAGTTTCATGAGAATATCTTTGCTTAATCTGCATGCTGATACAAGGGTTGCCGTTCCACGATTGAAAGGCTTTGCATATATATTTGTCCCCCCGTATTTTATTTTCGGCAGGGAAATCAGCCGACGTTACATATTAATATTAATATTCTTTCAACTTCTTCATAACCATGATTGGTCAAGAAAATGATGACGTTCTAATCGAAATGATGACGTTGCTTACTAAAACAATCTACAATATTCTCTTGCTTGCATCATCCAGAACACGAACAATATTAAGATTACATCACCGAGCGTACGTTGATTATACGTCAACAGGTCATCCACAACATAAATAAAGGATGATGGAGGAAGAACGAAAACTTCAATCAGGGAAAATAACAGCTCAATCAACTATTATTGTAATAATAAACCATTCTCAACTATTACCTAACAAACTTCAATTTTAATCATTCTCAAACAAAATGACTCACTTTGAAGTAACTTACAACAAACAATCAAAGCACTTCAACGCTGCTGCGTCCATCACCTGGAATGACCTCTCTTCAAAGCTCCGCACATTGTTCTCGATTCCATCCTCGAAAGCGATAATCATTTCGTACATTGATAAGGACGGGGACGCGATTGCATTGTCGAACGATTCGGATCTACGTGAACTTGCTTCACAACAGAATGAAGGATCAACGGTTAAATTGACATTATCGGCGGATAGTGAGAAAGACGATAGTAGTGGAGATGAGAGCTGGATAGTTGAAGGAAATAAATTTGGAGAAAATCCTTTTTCCGAAACCGACAACTCTTCCGTTGAACGTACCGAATTACCACCACTCACGAGCCCACCAAGTTATCGCTCAGTAACTCTAACAGACGAAAAGGACGAAGACGAATTCGACTCAACCACTCACTCTGTCAACAAAGGTAAAGAAAAGGATGACTCATCGACGCGTACCTTGTCGGATGATCCAAATCCAGAAAATACGTCACGGCCACCATTTCTGGACCTTGCAGAACAGTTCCAAAACATACTTGACCAATTTAAGGACGTTCTTGACCGAAATCCACAATTAATCGACAGCGTAAACGTTGTAATGGATCGTATTTTGGCTGGATCGTCTGTAGATATACAGGATTATGCTGATTGGTTGGAGTCGTTCAGGAACTTTGGATTTGGAAAATTCGGGAAAGAAAAAGAGAATGCTTTTAGCAATTGTTGCAATGATCAACGCAGTTACCAAAATAGGTGTGGGAAGAATGCGAATTGTAAACGGACAGCGGCTAACCCAGAAAATAAAAACGACAACTCGGAATCTCACGATGGGATCTACATAGCGTTCCACGGCCTTCCACATCCAATGTTTGTCCCCAGACCTGTGTTCGGTCATCCATTCCTATATGCTGCTCCGTGGCATAGGACACCATTCAATGCATTCTACACCAACCCGTTCTTTACACCATTCTCATTTTTTGATGACGACACCGCATTTCGATATTATATGCCCCATTACACATACGCTCCATTTTATACGCAGAGGTGCATTCCAACCATATACGTTACGAGGCCTGATACATCCCCGACGGACGAGAAACGAGCAGAGAGTTCAACAAAAGGCGCCGAGTCTGCAAAGACATGTAATTGGAAGAATGGAAGAAATAGATGTAATGGGGTAAGATTTGGAGCACCATATGCGTCAGAAAGAGGTTGTAAGTATGCGTGCCGTCAGCGATCTGCGTGCGGCAGTGGCAATGGTAATAATGCTGATGCCAATTTCAACGTGTCCGAGAAGATCACGCTACTGAATACAATGGGATTCGAAGACAATGTTCAGAACGAGGATTTACTAAAACGTTACAGTGGGAATGTCGATCGTGTGGTTGAAGTGTTGTTGCAGCGACAACAAGAAACGTTCAAACAAGAGCAGCAACAGAAGGAACAACCGCGTTCAAATGGCGAAGAGAAAACTGAGATCGATGGTGATGATTTTAGCGAGGCTGAATCCAAACCATATAGTCTGAAAATTTAAGAAAGTTTGTTTTGTATGCTTGTTAATATCTTTACAGAAGTTTATGTCATAAAGAAAGCAAAATGTTTTGTGATAACAATATAATTAATAAAGAAATGCAATATTAGATAAAACGTCTGTTGCAATGTTTTGAGTTTTATCCTTGAAACGATAGGCTCAGTGTATTGTAGAAATGTATAAACATGATATAATGTTTGTTGAAGGCTTTTTCCGCACTCCATGATTAGTAATAACTTCATGTCAATGACTTATCTGCTGAGTATTTGGTTACGCGCGTCGTTAGAAATTCACAAAATAGATTGATTGACCCCTTCTGTTTACGAGCACTTGCCAAATAAAGTGTTGGCAATTATACTAACTATCGTCAATGCTAGATTTGTGCTCGGCACTTATTTTGTCCTGTTAAAACCATTATTATTATTATTTTGGGGAAATAACGGAATATATTATTATTATTAGAAAACTACTGATTAGGAGTTACAATTAATATAGACAGTAAATATGACTAATCAACTTGCACCACTGCACTTCTCGACTTTATTGTAGATTAGAGTTTAACGTAGAATGGTGTATTAGTATGGGTTTTAAATAGGAAACAAAATCTCCAAATTACCCTTATTCAATCGATGAGCATATATAGACAATCCATATTTTCTATTTGCTGTTTACGTTACCACGCAAATTTAATGCATGTTTGCTATGAAAGGGAAAAAAATAGTATTGACGTCGTTTTGTTGGTAAAATAAATTGTGTATTACTATCTAAAGAAATTAAAATAAAAAGTTGCGATCGTTACTATATAAAGCGTAATGATAATCGTCAGCCAATTCTCACCTTTTTCGCATTTCTCTTTCCCTCACAATGCGAGCCTACTATCACGACGGTGACAGTGCAACTGACCAACGCCTTCCGCACGAGCACATACCTTATTCTGCAGTGGCACCAGAAGAATTAAGTCGACTCGGAGTTCTCTACTGGAGAATTGAAAAACAAGGCAATTGGCAGGAGCAGATTGATGCCGTTGCCCAAGAAAGATCTTATAAAAATCGCGATGTTGTAAGTGTTCAATGAAAATGCAGGGGAAAAATTTATTAGTGTTGACACTTATATTTTTGATAACAATCATTACAGATCAAAGTCTCCAAAGAAGCAATGGGAGATGTGTATGAGAGCAAGTTGAGGACATTTTATGAAGAGTTAAGTATGCTAAGAGAATTTTTTGAAAACAGTAACAGCAACAGATAACCGATAGTTAATCTTATGTTTGAACTAAACCAGACACCTCCATGAAGATGAAGAGATTCGCTATATTCTTGACGGATCAGGATACTTTGATGTGAGAGGTAATAAAACTGTAGATAATTGCGCAAGACATTAATTAATACTACACTTGTCTTGAAAGCAAATTTACGTTGTGTTCTTTATTTTTTTAGATGAACAAGACAGATGGATTCGTATCGCTGTTACGACAGGCGACCTACTTGTCCTGGTGAGTATTCGTGTCTGAAATTCTGCAGAGAATTGATAAACCCGAGTTGACTCTTCATGCTGAATAAAAGCCAGCAGGAATCTATCACCGCTTCACGCTTGATGCCAACGATTACATAGAAGCTATGAGTAAGTGAGAATGCAAAGTAACTGTGTTATTCACATTATATCTTTATAATATCCGGTTTACTCATTCTTTTGTCTATGCTGCTGCTCGCTACATATGTTCATTCTACAGGACTTTTTAAAGACGAGCCGAAATGGACACCTATTAATCGTAAGACTTTGTTATGCAATCAAGTAATTATGCATCATCTTAGTATCGAGATCCTAATATGACCGTTCGGTTTATAGGCCCGGCTGACGCCAATCCATTCAGGTTATCCTATCTTCAATCAGTTAGAAGCGCAGTATGAAATAACACGTGATAATTAGCATTTATGTAAATGCTTTACCCAATAACTAAACAGCAATGCTAGTTCAATAGTAGCAGAACTGAGCAAACTGATTCAAGAGACTATTATTTATATTATCTATTTGTTTGTTCAATAAAATGTACAACTATCCATTTCCTCAGAAACAAAGCTCTTTCGAAGCCCACACATTCTCTCGATAAATAATACCAATCTAGTCAATGCTCTGACTGCACACGAAATCCATAACTATTTTCCTCCTTTCTTTTTACTCTTCTGGTTTGCTTTGGCCATCCTTGCAGCCTCCTTAGCGCTCAATTCTGGCAACTTCTCTTCTGATTCCAAAAATTCCAATCCAAAATCCGTCTCACCGTATCGTGAACTGAATTTCGATAATTGACCGCTCTCATCGAATAAACCCACGCCATCGGAGTATTCATTCCATAACGGATGGTTTCGCGTATCCTTTATCAGCTTGACCTGTGGTTTCGGAGATGTCGTGTGATAGACATAGGATGAGCCGTCGCTTAGGAATACGCGCTGGATGAATTTGGGAGGGATTGCATTGGATTGTTTGGTGCTATAATAGAGAGGACGGGGTAAAGATAAAAGTGAAGAAGCAGCATAAGTGTGAGAGGAGGGGGAATGGCATGCTTTGTGTGGACGAAGAATGCCGCGAAATGATTGCATGGTCAAGTTATCGTTATGAAATCTACAAATTCCTAATTATTTGCACGACAATATTAATATATGATTGGTGGATCAAAGTTTGATTATTTCTGCTCATTTCCAAACCGTTTAGTCCCCTCTCCAAGCATGATATTGAATAGACTAGCGTCAACGTTTAATGGAGTGGCCAGACTATATAACCCAAAAATACTCAATAGTAAGACAATTTTTGTTTTTGCCGAGTATCCCGTAACTTACGTGCTCAAGCTGCAAAGCACATTAATTTCAACTTTATATCCATTTACTCATTACTATTCCATCTATACATAGTAGCCCCGCATCTTACACGGACAGCTCTGCGTAGAACACCTCTCCTATTGAATAAGAGATCATTCTCTTCAACTTCAATTGCCTACCAAGGTATTCGTGCTCCAATTACCTCAATTTTAACCATGATAATCGATATCTAATGATTCCACCTTTCCCATATTTTTGCAGCTGCTGAATCTTCATCACCCGCCCAAAACCCAGAAACCGACACCAAATCTCTGCATGAATATGGCAAATATCTGCTGTCTATGCTCCCCAAATACATTCAACAGTACTCGGTCTATAAAGACGAACTAACAATCTACATAGCCCCATCCTCTCTCATCCCCGTAATGACGTTCTTACGCGATCACACCGGATGTCAATTTAAACAAGTTCAAGACATTTGTGGAGTTGATTATCCCACTCGCTCGAATCGTTTCGAAGTAGTTTATAATATGTTGAGTGTTCATTACAACGCTCGGATCAGAGTAAAAACATATACTGATGAAGTAACACCTGTGCCGTCTATCGTTAGTCTATTTGATGGTGCAAATTGGTTCGAGCGAGAGGCGTACGATATGTACGGAATATTCTTTGTCGATCACCCGGACTTGAGAAGAATTTTGACAGACTATGGTTTCGAGGGACATCCAATGAGGAAGGATTTCCCTCTGACAGGATATGTAGAAGTTAGATATGACGAGGAGAAGAAAAGAGTTGTGGCTGAGCCATTGGAGATGACGCAGGCATTTAGGAATTTTGAAGGGGCGGCTTCGCCTTGGGAACAGACTGGTAAGTTGGTTTATAACATGCAAGTTGGGGTGTTAACACTTGGACATAATTCACATGTGTCGATAGATCTATACTCTTGAGTGTCCTCATTGACACGAACAAAATACCCAATGTCTTGTTGATAATATAACATCACTCTTCGATTTGCAGGTCCTGGACAGGACAATCGTCCTGAATCATTTAAACTGGAAAATCTTCTGCCCAAGCCAGAGACAAAGAAATAAAGCAAATAATCTAATCCAAACGCTATTTATTGAATCATCAACGGAAGAGAGCGTCAGGATGAATACTTTCATTGAAGTAATCATTAAGTGAGGTTGCGTTTGTAGAGTATGGATAAGATAAAAAGCCTTTTCGTATATGCATATAGGAATACCAAACGTCTCTCGTGTGTCGATTTTGCGACCGAAATTTGTCAATTCTATTCTTCTGTACAGTCCCGTAAAGGTTTTTATCTGAAGACTCACATGTCGGTTGTACCGTTGATATTATAACGACAAGATACGATAGTAATCTTCTTCGATACTAATATATGTCTCGGCGAGTTTTTCTATTCTTTCTGACTTACTCATTTGGCAGAGTACGTCCTATTGAAGAAAATGGAGAGAATATAATTGATATACGTATACGGATATTCTTGGACAACAAAATAAACAGGCGGACAGACCTTGTTATGATTATATAATCGTTTTTTCACTTGTATTCGATATGCCTTGTAAGCGTTAACATCCGATTTATTCAGCTTCTTCAACATTAACATTTCTATACATCTATGCATCTGTCGCTATTAAAATAATTTTATTAAAAACATGTTACTTATTATACCAATTGATAGTAAGTTCGTCATTTAACTAACCTGATCCAGCTTGCATTTTCGGCGCACTTCCTCTACTTTGTTTTTATCTAATGGTATAGTGAGGCCTTCGACTATTTTATTTTCCACGAGATACATTAGATCATTTTTATCTCGGAGATCGCTAAAAGCATCATTTGGATCTTCGACTGGTGAACGTATTTACCATATTAGCTGACAAACATATTACGCAACGTTAGAAATTACAACTACTCGTTACCAGTCAGTTCTTTGATCCATGGATTAGCCAAGAAATTCCTATAAAGAGCCTGATACAATTTGCCTATTGACAACAAATAAATTATAATCAAAGGCACAACGCATATAATAATTGTTCTATAACTTCTATAACTTACTTCCATGATCTTGTTTCTGATAAGGAGGTAAAATAAGAAATTGACTGCATCACATAAAATGACACAAACCACGACAAATGCATTAACTCTGCAGTGGCATCCAAAAAATATGGATTCATTTCCTACCAAATTATTCCCTTACCTTATCCTCAATCTCGTAGAATACAAGAAGTTTGACGTTTCATTTAACTCATTAGATATTTCTTTGATTTCCGATAACGGTTTAGAACCTTCACATTTCTCGTAAAAGAAGAACGCATACATCGTACAATAGCCTATTATATTATATATATTCGAATCACCCGTCGACTTTTTCTGGAAGCTGGAATATCGCGGAGATTAGTTTGCACCTGTGAAAAGTTAAGCAAATGATTTGAATTGTCAGACTATATACACTTACACAAGAGCAATCTCCCATTTCTCATCATCCTCGTTAATATATCGTGCACCGTCAATATATAAAAGCACAAATAGTTGAAGTCTACTATGATATTCTTTGAAACCAGGCGTGTTAAAATTTGTCTGAATAACGTTAAAAAAAACCAGTTAAATTTCAATATTATTAAAGTAATTAATGCTCTCAATTTACAAATACGAACCTTGTAAATTTCGTAAACTATATTATCGTCATCTGAAAGGCGATATTCGCTTATCTTCTCACCCATTGGAACAAACGTATGCGTATCTTTCTCCACTCTTTGAAGAAATGTGTCGTAGTTTGTCATAAAACCTATCACGCATATTACAGAAAGGCGAAACATTTTTGTCGTGTATTAGTCTTTCGGTCTCCCTATTGATATTTGTTTGCTGATTGATTATCTTCACAACTTGTCACTTTTAGCTTTATTCATTCTTCTTCCTTTCTTCCCTCTAATCGTTTACCTTCAGGTATGTGTTCTCGTATGATTCCAATAACATCAGTTGGCTTGGCACCGGGCAAATGATCAGAAATCTTTTCGTCATAACTTACGTCCAAATATGTTACCAGACTCCCCGCAGCGTAATAGAGCTTTATCTTTAAGTTTTTGTACCCGTATATCTGTTGCAATGGGCCGAAAAGACTATAAGTAAATTGGGGCAACAATTGGTGGTATTCGCCTTCGGGGTGTTCGTATGGATCGGATGTGTGTGCACTGACTTCAGAAGCAGAAAGGAAATATGAAAAAAGATGGCTTAAACGAACAATGCATAATCAATTGCTAAAACAATACTCTGAACAGTTACCAAGCCGTAGTTTTAAAACGTCGTTGGCGTCGCAGACCCATTCTGCTTGGTTCACAGTTGTTATAGTCATTACGTTCTTAACGAAAAACACAATTATAAAACTGTTGAAATTGAGCTCCTGCCAAAAATTACCGTCGTAAGAAACGATAAAGAGTAATTAGAAGAAAATTTAATAAAAGTGGTTCATCTTTACCAAACATTAACCCTTTCCGTAAGAAATGTTAAAAGAGAACTAAGCTTATGGCATAAGTTATTTTGTATATCGCTCTCACTGACTTCTTTACGCGCTCACTACGCGTTTTCGTATCCTTTACGCAATGCTTCAATTACGCACCTTTTATTCTTAATAGCCGTGATAAAAGACAGAGTTTTTACGCAAAGAATAAGCTATTTGATTCGAATATCGAATGTCCAAGTCACGAAGATGTTTAATAACATTTCCTAATATTAATATTTGAGTACTAATGTTGTACACGTGGGAACAAAATAGAAATGGAACATTATAAATTTACTGTCATACTACACTTTGAGGTTAGGGAAATCACATAAAACACATAGCCGACCAAAAAGGTTCCTAATATCATGAAACACTGGCTTGAGATATTTATGGAATTTACAAAAGAACACTTATAAACGATAATAGTCATATCTCAATTTTGTTTTGAGTTTGTAACTCGTGACCCCATACGGTTGATTGTCTTTGCTTTGCACAACTTGTAGCAGCTCATCATTTCGTTTAATGACTGGCACATACTCATCATTTGCGCATCGCAGTCCGCAAATTCTTCGGATTAAATCAACCATCAACGAAGCTAATACTTGGAAATTTTGTCTGATAATTAATAATATCCTTTTCCTTTATTTTTGATAATTACTGAAGCAATGAAAGAACCCTCTAGTTTATCTACATCTGAACACAATCCATACTACATTTGACTCTACCATAAACATCCTATTATTACTATTACTATACAAATTATCAACTAAAAAGGAATACACTCATCCAATCATGGCGACGGTCCAGGAGGTGTCGGTGGTGGCGTAAGACTCAATTGACTCCTAATATGGTCGATCAAACCCGATCCATTGCTCATTGCTTGACTATTCTGGCTGGTATTCGGCGACATCGGTACTAAATTTCTTGTTGCAGCTGACTTGTGTACCTCATCCAAAGCCTTTATCATATCATCATATTCTTCTAAACGCGATGGAACGCGAACAGTGTCATTGCTGTTCTCTGGAAGACGACTCCATCTATCATCAACGCTCACATCAACGTTCTTCTGAGTTTCATCCCACTGGGACTTGAGGGCATCTAACTCATTTGCTATCGAATCAAGAGCACCAGAGTTTCGCGGGCTATTGTCACGAATGTTTACTTCGATGCCGCGATACGTGTCGACAGCATGTTCCATTTGGTCGAGAAGGATTCCAATTTTATGATTCAATTCAAGGTTTTCCTTTTCAAGTGTTTCTGTCTTGGTACGATATTCACCGATCTCGCGTTCAAGCATAGTACGATGCTCATCCCACTGCTGGCGTTCCATCGAGTGTCTGGCATTGTCTTGCAGACCGTTTTCTTTTCGAGGTGATCCACTCAAAGCGATTTCAAGTTCCCGGTTCAAATGTTCATTCAGAGTCAATGTCTCTTCCAATTCTGTTCGAGTTGCCTGGAGCACTTCTTGCATCCGTTTTAGTTCAGTTCCAAGATTATCTAATTGTTGAGTGGTTTGAGCATGAAGATTCTTGAGGGTCTCGTATTCTTTCCGTAATACTTCATACTCTTGATCCATCATAGCCTTATCGTCGTTTGAGCGCTCTAATTGTAATTGAATATCAGCCAGTTGTTGCTGCAGGGCTTGCTTTTCTTTATCAAAGTCTTTTCGCTGTTCTTCAAGACGAGCATTAGCGTATTCCTGTACTCGAGATTCACGAGCACCCCTTCTGACTGTCATTTGATTTTCTGCATCTGCCAATTTCTCCTCGAGGTTTTCAGAATGTTCTTGCATTTGTAGTAACTTCTCATTTATCTTTGCATTTTCTGTTTGACTCCTCGTCAATTCTTCCTTCATTCTTCGCAACATCTTCTCGCTACCTTTGACGTAGTGAAGCGCAGTTTGATAGTCCGATTCTACTTGCTGTAGCCGTTGCTTTACTTCAGATAATTCACGCCTAGAAGCGTCGGCATCCGAATCCGAATCTTTGCCTCCGTCCGTGAGTGTCTTTGAACTATCCGTTATATTTTTATCACTTACTCGTTCGAGCTGTGATTCAAGTGTTTTTATGCGCTCGTCTGCCTCTTTTGCTCTCTGAATTGCTTCCTCACATTTAGTACGCGTTTCCGAAAGTTGATTTGACGTTTCTGCATGGGTGAATCCGAGTTCTGCATATCGAGCTTCTAATTCTTTGTACCGCGTTGTTATATTGTTCGTTCCACCATTGTCAAGAATGCCCTTCTCAGACATGACATCTTTCATCATTCCTATTTTAACATTAGCCTCTTCAAGCGCTTGCGTTTTCGTTTCTAGATCTCGTTCCTTTTCACGTACTCTATCTTTCAATCGTGCGATTTCATCTGTAGCTTCGGCCAGCCTTCTTTGTAGAGAAGCATTTTCAGACCGAGACTTGATATTAGTAGCTTCTAATTGAGAAGTCCTACCCATAGCTTCGGCAAGAGACCTCGAAGCCTCATCGGCTGCAGTTTGACTGTCGCTACGAGCAATTTTAAGTTTTTCAACTTCCTGTTCAAGTTCATTGTATCTACGAGTCAGATCAGAGATATTGAGGTCATTAGCAGTTCCGGAACGTGACGTATTCAGAAGTTCGGTCATGCTTTCTTGCATTACTGCACGAACAGCATCTGCTTCTTTCTGAGCTGTGGCTAACAATCGTTCTAATTCATTAGTTTTTGCATGTGCTCGGTCTAAATCACGCATTTTCACATCTAATTCCGCTCTCAGTCCTGCAGCTTCTTTCTCCAAACTAACTATATCTTGACGATCTTGACGGGCTTGTCTCCACAAAGATTCTGCTTCAGAGGCGCGTTCATTGGCAGCACTCAAAGCAGCGTTAGCTTTCTCAAGAGCGCGTTGATGTTGTTCAAGTGACAATTGTAGTTGAGCTAATTGTCCTTGCGAACCCGATGACTTAACACGATGCTGCGCCAATTCAGCGTTGGCTTCTGCCAATCGCGCATTGGCTTGTCTCAGAGAAGTCTCGGCAGCAGTAGCTCTCGAATGCAATGTAGCTAATTCGGTTAATACTCGCGCATGTGATTCTTCCATTTCTTCTGCCCTTGCATTTGCGGCCTTTGCTCGTTCCTCAGCCGATTCTCTTGCTTGCATCTCATAACTTGATGATTGTTGATACTGAATTAATTTAGTTTGAGCGGCTTCTTTTTCGGTTAAAGCTTGGGTTAATCGTTTCTCAAGATCTGCGGCACGTTGTGATTCAATCTGTGCTAGATCTGTTTCTGACGCGTTCATCAACGCTGTCAGTTTGGCTTTGAAATAAGCAGCTTCTTGGAGCGCTGCTGTACGTATGCGCTCTGACTCTGTGATTTTCAAGGAAGCCGTCTGTGCCTGACTCGCTACTGTTGCTTTTGCTCGACGAAGCTCTTGCTTTACTTTCATCAATGCAACAATTAACTTGTATTTATCAGAATTTGGCTCACCTACATTTAAAATTTGTTCTGCTTCAGTATCCTCGGACGTGTCGGCATCGCGACCAAAGTCGGGAGTAAAGCCGGCTTTCCGAGCAAAAGCAAGTTCTGTACGGAACCAGTTTTCCCGTTTTTTCAATAAAGAAATGGCCGCATCTCTTTGTTGCAACTCGCGAAGGAAGCTATCTCGTTCTGCATTCGACACAGGGGTAGGAAATTGATCAGCAAGCTTCATAGTATCCGTCGGGGACATTGGGGAGCGAACGGTCGTTGGACTTCCGCTTGATGTTCCCGGCGAGAATGTACCGCCGTATAGCACGCTTCCTTGTGCATTGTTAGTATTAATTATCAATTGCTGTGTATTCGCATCAGCGTTTTGATTGACACCTGTAAATGATCTCTGTTCTTGTGCAGGCGGTGTATTCATATTTCCTTGCATGGTCACTGCGTTCTGCATACTTATGCCACCCTGATTTCCCATATTATTCTGCAAACTCAAACCACCCTGAACACCCATATTATAATTCTGCATACCCACACCACTTGGGCCTCCGATATTATTATTATTCTGCATTCCCATCCCAGCTTGACCTCCCATATTATTATTCTGCATTCCGACGTTATTCACCCTGACCCCAACCTGTGGTGGCTTTGGCGCTGCTCGCGGGTTAGTAAAATCCTTCGATCCAAACTCTGTCGCAGCAGACCCATACACTCCTCCAGCAGCCGTCTTTTCCGGGCCAGATCGGGGCGGTCTGAATCCATTTGCTTCTCGAAGATTGTCCGCACTCCTCTGCTGTCTACTACCTTGCGGCGAAGGAGTCTGTTTGCGGAGAGATTCGATACTTTGTTTACGTCCGAATGGGGCTTGTGCTGATCCGGGGGGTGTGGTGGGAGTAGATTCCATATATCGGAATTGGTCTGTTGGCGAATTTCTGGCATTAGGCAAGGTCCCATCGTATCGTGTGTTGTCTGGAGACATACCACGGCTTATCATCTGCCCCTCAGGACCTCTCGGAGCAATATTGTTACCAGTCATTTGCCTCTTTGGAAACGTTTGTCCGCGAGGACTTCCCTGCCCAGTCCCGTTAACTGGTTGGGCTCCATACGTTTGATTCGAATATATCATTCCTTCCGGACCAGTTCTCGGTGAAATTGACGTACTCGGTGAACCTTGTCGAGGCGGACCCTGAAATCGGGGGTCGGTAGCACCATACGGAACAGGATCGCCGTATGGAGTTCGCTGGTATCTTTGAGCATCATTTGTGAGTGAGTTTGAACGAGAGTCTGCTAACGGTTGGCCGCGGGGGAAGGTTTGAGTTGGAGATGGTGGGCCACGTAAGCTGTCTCCACTTGATTGAGAGGTTATGGAACCATTCTGATATCTCTGATATTGTGATTGAGTTTGCGTCTGAGGTTGAGATTGAGGAGGAGGCCCTTGCTGTGATCTGTTTGTCGAACTGTCGGGATATTTTATTTTGGCTTAACAGATACGATATACGAATCAAGAGTGAATTATTGATTCATTTGAAGAATACTGACATAAACTCACTTTAAATAATCTTACCAGTATCTAAAACATGTATTACTCCTGATTCATCAGGTTTAGCTCTGTGGAGACTGTCACCACCAAGAACAAAAATTTTTTCTCTGCACGCAGACAAAACTGTTGTGTGACGAGCGTACGGTGATGGACCCATCTTCTGGAACATGTACCATCGCTTATCTAATCATGAATCAATCAAAATATATAATTAACATCATGCAGATTGATTTGAATAAAACTATTTCGTATTGCGATTAGTTGATGTGAGAGTTTTGACTTGTCACACTGCACGTTCACTGCTCTGAAAATTAAACCAAAATAATACGAACTTGTTATTCTAAACGCAGCCAAATCACCGAGTTCTTCTCCTTCTGATCCTTTCCCGCCAAATACATATACTACGTCGCCTACAAGCGTAGCGCCGTGGCTATCGCGTGGAAGAGGTATGTAGCCGATGCATACAAGCTCTGTCCAGGTATTTGAGCGAATGTCGTAGCACCATGTATCGTTGTAGCATTTATTACCATCAGTGCCACCAAATCTGATAAATTTGGGAGGAAGGAAAAAAAACAGAGATGCATTAATACGGTACCGAAAAGATTAAAAACAGATTTGGATTAGAACTTTTCTTAAGAGGGAACGAAAACAGAATAATCGCAGGAGAGTGAAGTAAAATGATACACGTACATGTAAATTTTCTCATTAAATGTTACGGCAACGTGCCCTGATCGTCCAGACGGAGGGTCGTTTGCAGGCACAACTACTTCCCATCTTGCTTCACCGGAGTTCACTGAATATAATTAATATTCTCATTCAATTCGCTGTCATATTATTATTACCATCACCGCTTTTCACGTCTCTATCTGAATCTCGCATTTGCCTTCCGCCGGCATGACAGAGCATTTAGAAATCTTTCCAACAACTTTATCTCGTTCTTCCAATCATTCTTCGCCTTTCTTACTTACTTGATGCAACATCCAAAGCCAAAAGATCGTTCATGTGGTATCCTTCGGCTTCTCCACCAAAAATATACATCTTTGTCCCTACTGTTGTTGCTGTATGGCCAAATCGTGCTATTGGACGATTGCCTATTATTGCTGGTTGCACCCAATTTTTTGTTTCTGTAGCAGCAGTTGAAAAGAATGTTAATACCTGACTGAATAAGTGAATTATCAAAACTATTAATGAATATAAATTACCGGTATTGAGAATGAAAATATTGTCATCGGGTTTTTCTTCGGGATTTGCGACCAGCCCACCAAATACTATATAAATAGTTGGGTTATTTAGTACGTAAGTTTCATAGACTTTGATCAACTCATGAAACAATTAAGTTCTTTATAATTCTTATAAATCGATCCAACAAACTTAACGGAAAAGCACTAACCAATCATCTGTTGACCTATGACAACATGAGTGTGTCGACTTCGTGGAGGAGGTATATCACCAGTCGTTGATATTGGTTGTACGTTGAGTGTGTCTGCAGAATATTAAGAATACGTGGTTGAGTTTTGTTCCATTGCCTTTTACCCTGTTCGATGTTCGACGACTATTCAGTGTCGAGTCCCACAAATCAGGTTACAAGCATCTCCCTTCATCACATTCTCCTCCCAGCGAGCATGTTTCCCATTCCCAAACGTAACCCAATCCCTTCTACGTATACTCACTCGCATCCAATAGATAAACATCATTCCTAGCTTTGCCTTTTGCTATACCACCAAATATAAATATGTCATTGTCTCTAGCACTCTGGCTTGCAGAGTGTCCGACTCTTGGAAAAGGATTGGTTATATTAAGCTTTTTTTGTGACCATGGGTATATGGGTCCATTCTTATTAGTAAGTTTTGAAAAGAAAGTCATGAGTACTACTCGATTACTATATTAATATCCAATATTTTGATTATTAGTCTTCTTCAGAAGATGACAAGTGTTCAGATGAGTTTATATAAATAGTATTAAGTAATAACTTGGGTTGGGATGAAGTCTATAATAAGGAGTGTTTTATTGAAACAAGGTTTGTAAACGTGTGGGTTAAGTGTAATTGTAGCGTCTATTGACGTTCGTGGTATCTAAGAGTATAGAGTGAAAATCGGGGAGGAGAGAGAGATGGTGTTAGTAGTGTCCGGTGATTATTCTCGGCGCATCTGC